CCCCAAAACCCCAAAACCCCAAAACCCCAAAACCCCAAAACCCCAAAACCCCGAAGAGGAGGGTTATCCTTGAATTTTTATATATATGGGTTTTTGTAGGTGCTTTGTTGGGGAGGAGCATTAATCATTGTATTCGGGACAGCATAATTATCAGCTCTAGATGTTTTATAAGGTTTCTCAGCCTCATATCTACTTTCATCATAATTACCTTCTCTTTTTCTACGCTCATCAGGATCTTCTCTGCATCAGAGGCCATATTGTACAAACAGTACCACAAACAGCACTACCCCAATGACCAGGTACCCAATTCCCATGCCTAATATCTCGCCTTTAAGCAACTCATCATTGATCGGGTCTTTACATGCTTTGGGTGGTTCTCCTCTTGAAGAGTCTCCGAAGTAGTAGACTTTTTGGAGTGTGCAGATTCCTGAGCACTTGTATTCCTTTTCGATTTCTCCGAAGTAATCTAGGTACTCGATGATCTCATCTAAGTCTGAGAAGTCAATGTTGTAGTCAGCGTAAGCGGCTTCGATGTAGGCCTTGCAGTCTTGGACATTGGTGTTGTCGCTAGGGTTTAGGGTGGCCACGGTCTTCCCGGTGAAGTAGAAGGTTGACCCGATGTAGCATGGGCATTGGGCAGTGCAGTAGAATGAGTCTGAGCGGGAGTAAAGTTCATTCATCGCTTGTTGGAAATCACTATCTGAATTATTTGATGAACAAAGCTCTTCTAATTGGTCTGAGAGACCAATACCAATAACCATTAACACTATGCCAAGGACAATAAAGAACAGAGTAATTATTGTCAGAAGAATAGCGAACAGGTAGTGGAAGAAGCAAATCCTTTTGACTGAAGTACACATTGCACAGGCCATGACAAACACCAATATCACTCCTATTATAACTCAGAATAAGAATATGATCATCTGGAGGTCAACTTCAATGACCGAGCCCACGATACCATAGATAGCATTTTCCTTAGCTATGGTTCCAAACACGATTGACACCACTCATCCGGCCTACACAAAAGGTTAAATTAATTCTGAACTCTAGGATTCTCTTCAATTCTGATAGAAGAGGGGAACAACAGAAAGAATTTTTAAAACGCCTCTTGCACTATCTGTAAAACATTCACTAATCTTTCTGAGCAGTACGAAATCTCATTCATCTCAAGTAACTGAACCCGGGCTTAGTAATCTGAAATTATAGCAGAAAATTTCGTAAATTTCTGATATTATAACTGCTAAATTCGGAACGATAAACAGAAATTTGAAAATTACTCATCCAAAGCCCTCACAACTTGGTTCTGGATACCTAATGAATGGGATTAAGCTAGGGGTGAAAATTTAGAGATTTCAGAACAAATATTGGAAAAGTTAATAACACTAGGTTTGCCTTGGAGATTCATGCCTTAACTTTGGGGGTTAGTGATGAAGCAAAGGAAGCTCAGTGTAAACGAGCCACTTTAGTTCGGAAAAATCTGCTTTTGATGATTGGAGAAAAGATAAGGGGCAAATATCAATGCCAAGAACTGTTTGGGTACGACTGTTAATTAATACAAACAAAAATATGGAATCTACATGGTCACTTACCAACAGGAGAAAGGATACAAAGAAAAGAGTGACTTTCACTCATTTAACTTTGAATAAGCACATTAAGCAGCACATATTTATTTATTTTATTTTCAACTCTATTCTGGCATTTAGGGGTTTTGGGGTTTTGGGGTTTTGGGGTTTTGGGGTTTTGGGG